GGACTGGTGGATGGCTCAAGTGGTAGAGTGCCTGCCTGGGAAGTGCAAGGCCCTGAGATCAAACCCCCATACTGCCAAAAAACAAAACAAAACAAAATATTGTGTACAACAATATTGCATAAAATTACCTTCAGACTATTGTATTTTGTGTTTAGACTTGGGTCCTATCCACAAGCTATCTCATCACGTATATGCAAATATTCCAAAATCCAAAAATTTCAGAAACCCAAAGCATTTCTGGCCCAAGCATTTCAGATAAGGGAGACTCAGCCTGTACTTACTTTGACTGATCCTCTGATAAGTGGCTCCTCAGCTTTCATATGAATTACTGTAACAGTCTCACAATCAGCTCTCCAGCTGCTTATTATTTTAAATTACAAACACTGCCACAGCTGATGGTAAATACTATAGGCTTTGCAGGCCTTTGTGGACTACAGTGCTGCTGATATAGCATGAAAGTATACATAGCCCGTACGTAAACAAATGAACATGACCATACACCAATAAAACTTTATTTACAAAAAACAGGGAGCAGGCTGGATTTGACTTACAGGACACACTGTGTGTCTCTGCTATAACAATCCAGAACAGCCTCATCTCTGGCCACACTGGCCTGGCCTCTGCTCTCCCAACTACTCTGCTGTGTGCATTGCTGCCTTTGCTCACACTCTTCCACCTGCGGGAATGTAACTGCCCCCTCCCCAGGTTCAGTGGAATGGTTCTCAGCCTTCAAGGCCTAGTTGGATTATTTCTGTCTCTCCGAAGTTTCCGTTAATTCTCCCTCCACAGATATTTAGTTATCTTCTACCTGTATTTTCAAAGAGCTGGGACATATGTCTCATAGTTCTCTGTGGCCTCGCAATGTCTGACATTAGATGTTCAGTGCCTAATGGATCATGGAATAAACTAATCACTGAATAAACATGATTTCCAAAGCTGCAGTCCTCTTAAGTTCTGGGTAAAATTCCGAAGGGCAACCTACACGAAGTGCTCATATCGACATCATGAAACGTCTCCCAACACCAAGCTCTAACAGTACACATTCAGCTGTTGTAATCCATAAAGCTGTTGCATCACAAAGCTAAAAAAGCCACTTTTATAGTTTTTACACTGTTGTCTCTAAGCCCTAGCTTGATTCTTAAGGGCTTCCTCAAGAAGGGAGAAGGGCAGTAGGAGGGTAGGATGACTAAGAAATGTCTCTTCCCTGCCTCCTCGGCCCAGGTGAACTAATGCTGTTCCTTATTTCATTTGCAAAAGGTTTCTACCACAGATTTTTAAAAAAAATCTGTAAGATTCCATACAGGTGTGCTGTGCTTCCCAATGTATTCCTACAGGTTGGCCTATCTCCTCTTTCTGCTTCTCACTGACCCTTTGCGCCTGGTGCCAGATGCTGCTTCCAGGAACCACATTCCCTGACTGAAATCCCCATTTAACTATGATTGTACTCACCCTTGAGTAAAGCCTACTTCCTTTATTGGGGATAATAATACAGGTGGTCCCAGCTCATTCTTGAGGTCCCTACATTAGGTTAACACTGGGCCTGGGAAGGAAGCCAATATGACATGGGGAATCAGTGCTTGTCACTTCCACCTGAGTGCTGCGCTATCTGTGTCTTCCTCTCCACTAGCCTGTGAACTCCTTCACAGAAGAGCTGAGCTTCAGTGATGTAATCAAAGCTGCTATCTATGGAATACTCAGAGGTGCCAGACTACATGTACATGTCTATTGTTCAGGAATCACATCAAGACCACACACTTTTAGAACTGCAAGGAGCCTTGGATAGAGATCATCTAGTCCCAAACATAGAAGCAAAGAGACATAGTAGGTTAACACTTTATTCACTAATTCTAGAAATACATATTGAGTACCTTGTCCCTGCACTGTTCTAGAAGCTATGAATTCAGTGCAAAGTCTTCATTTTTAGGAAGCATATATTCTAGTGGATAGATGATAAATAAATGGATATACCTGTTAGGTAACAAAACAATAAACAATATAAGGATCAGAAAAAAGATCCCACTTTTATACAAGAAATGCCTCTAAGGCAACATTGGAGCAGAGATCTGAGATTAACAGAGATCAAGCTATGTGGAATCTGGAAGAAAAAGTACTCCGGTAGAGAAAACAACAAATACAAAGGCCCTGGGGTACGTACGTACTCAATATATGTGAGAACAGAGCAAAGAAGATAGCAAGAGTAGAATGAATAGGAGGAAGCTAAGAGGAGATGAGGTCAGAAAAGTACTTGGACCAAGTCATCTGACTGACTCTAAGAACTGTGAATTTTAGCTAGGAACTGAAGACAATCAACTCCTAAGGATAAAAATAAATAAATAAAGTAAATGAAGTTGAGTTTTCACAAAAGCAAGGCATAATAAAGAACAAAATCTCATCTGTGGGCATCATCTGAAAATAGAATTCCCAACAACTCAAGATCACTATAACCTTATTTATAACCAAACATCCTTATTCTACCACAAGTTCCTGTGGCTAGTTAGTCTAAGCTCCCAGATTTGTCAACATGGTAACTGACGCCCAGAAAGATGCTGTGACCAGCCCACCTCATGGCAGACCTGCAGCTAGCACAGCTTTTCTGACTTCTGGTCAGCACTCTCATGGGCCCCTGCTGCCTCTGGACTTGCAGCTGGTATGTCCAAGGATCACACTTAGCTGTGTGGTGGATTCCCCTGGTCTCTGAAACCTTTATAAATCAGTGAGAGAATAGATGAGCTGCCACTAGGCAGCATCTCCACACTCAAAGCCTGTCATTGTAAACTCCCATGATTCTAGGCTTTCATTTCCCATACAGTTGAAGACGACCAGCAGGTAAGGTGAAAGGATGTCGGGCACTGTGCCAGGTACCGTGGGGGATGTTCCTGTTAGTTCTGCCTGTCCACCATCCCTTACTCCCTGCTCCCAGACACAGCACTCCCTTTCCCATGGCTCTGGTGGGACAACGCTCATAAAATCCAAGCTACCATTGACGACAGATTGGGGTGGACATACGATTTGACCAATTAAAGAATCCTTATCCCTTTGATCCTAATGACAGCTACAAGACAGGATGTTCTATGTGTAAGAGCTGGAGAAAGACGCTCCAAGCCTGGACTTCCCAGTCATGTAAGTCAGGACATTTCCATTTTGTTCAGGTTAGTTTATGGTAGGTTACAATTACTTGCAACCAAAAGTATTCAAGCTCATGTAGGCAGCTGCATACCTTATCACGTTTCATCTGCCTGATGACCTTCTAAGGTTGCAATCAATCTATTTTAGAATGAGGAAACTGAGGTTAAGTACCTTGTCCGCATTCAAACAGCCAGTAGGAAATATTCAAATCCAACTCTTTCTGCTCCAAGGGCCATTCAGTATTAACCCAAAAAGAAGGAATTCTGCCATTCAAAAGCTACAGAATTTTCCGTTTAAAACTGTAGTGAATGTAGGAGGATGGGGGGAAAGCATTAAACTGACTCCAAGGGCCTGCCTCCCACCTCTGACTGTGGCTCATCCAGTCGTTCTGACTTTGGACCAGTCACTTCCTTTTTCCTGCTGTTAGTCTTCTCACTTATAAAATGATAAGCCTGAACAAGATAAACTCAAGATACTTTAAAGTGCTTTTTAAAAAGTCATGATTCACCTGGCGCTGGTGGCTCATGCCTGTAATCCTAGCTACTTGGGAGGCAGAGATAGGGAGGATCGTGGTTCGAAACCAGCCTGGGCAAATAGTTCTTTGAGACCCTATCTTGAAAACCTCTTCACAAAAATAGGGTGGAGTGGCTCAAGGTGAAGGCCCTGAGTTCAAACCCCAGTTCTGCGCGCACACACACACACACACACACACACACAAAGTCATGATTCTGCTTTAGGAATACAAATCAATTTTAACTGTCAGGTAGATGTTTTTCAACTTAATGTCAGGCCCAACAATTGGTAATGGCTCTGGGGATGCAAAGCTGCAAAGGGTTCTGAAGTACAGGATCCTCTGGGAAACTAGCACTGGCTGCCATGCTCACAGCTGTGTAGGTGCCACACCTATTAACACAGAAAAGCTGCTATCTTTCCAAGTGCAAGCTGTACTTGTAGTGCTCTGGCACTGCTCCCAGCAGTACCTGCACACGATTTTCACTACTTCCTCCTGTACTTGCTTGGCTCTCCTCTGCAAGCAAGCAATGAAACCACAAGACAGCAAAGTGGTTTGGGAAACACACCTGGAGCTTAAAGAGGGCAGACAGAACTGTACAAGCTTTAGGCCCCACATCTACCCTTAGTGTCAAACACACTATACAAGGCAAATATTATCTGTTCCCTTATGAGGTGCCCTTTTTAGGGAGGGGAAACAGGCAATTATCTGTTCGTTTGTTCATTCATTCATTCAAGGAACATTCACTAAGCAATGCCATGAGTCATGCATTCTGAGCCGCAGCCAACCCTGTTCCTGCCCTTAACGAGAGGTTCCTGATCCGGGGAGACAGACGAAACGCCTGCTGTGTTCAGGGAACAGAAAGCAGTTTGGAGGGCTGTCACCCACAGTGATTGTGCAAGATGATCCTCAGTCGGTCTCAGGAGTTACCGAGCCGTACAAGGGGAAGGGAGAGTTCCTCTGAACACGGGATTTGAACTCCATGGGGGCAGGGCAGACAAGGAAACAGAGCAGGCAAAGACAGCGTGGCCAGCGCTGCGACCTGGAGCAAAGGGCTGTGGGGAGTTTCCCTGGAGTTCGAGACTGCAGTGACAGAGAGCTCATCCCCTCTCAAGGTAACCCATACACTCCGCGGCGAACATCGGGGCGCCCCCCACCCGGAGAAACGTCCCCCTCCCCAAAACAAGCTCGTCCCTTCCCCAGACGGCTGGCGGCTCCCTAAGGCCAACTCTCCTGTCCCACCGGGACCACTTCCGTCACACAATGCTTAACGGGGACTGGGTTTGATTTGGGATCTGCGGATCCCAGGCATGGGTCAGTCCCCACCCCCACTAGCCCGCTGTTTCTATAGCAACCAGCTCACCACTTCGCGGGCCCGGCTGGAAAAGTCGCCCTTGGGCCGAGGGCTCCGGCGGAATACTTCATCGCGGCTGCCGTCGACCCCGCCGCCTACCGCCACTCCCAGCGCCTTGTTCCGCGTCTTCACTGTCTTGACGCTAGCCCGGAACAGCAACGTAATGTCCACCGCCATTGCGAACTGCACCCGCGGCCCCGCACAGGCCCGTGCCCGTCAGCAGCCGGCGACCCCAGCGCGAACCTGGCCGCCGGAGGACTGTTTCCGGCTTTGCACGCTTCCGTGCGGCAACGGGAACTCGGGAAGAATAGTTCCGGTCTCCGCCTGGAGACCGCGGCGAGAGGAGAAAGGTTCCGGCTTCACCCGGCGTGCTGGATAGACTCAGGACCCCAAGACTCCGTGGTGTGCGGCGCCTGGTCGCCCCTTGCTCCTTCCAGCAAACCCTGGCGGATAGCGAAGACCTCCCCGAGCTCCTGTGTGCCCCGGCAGCGAGAGGACCCGGAGACGAAGGCTCGCACCCTGTCGGGGTTCCCTGAGAGCCAGGCGGTTTGGTGGCGAGGATGCGGAGGGTGTCACCCTTGGCCTTTGACTTCAGCGTCGCACCTTGAGCAGGACGGTGACCATGGGTGTCACTGCAGCTAGCACAGTACAAGTGTACAAGAAACAGAAGCCAAGGCCTGCCTTCTCCAACCTAAAGCCCCTTGTGTAAAGGGAAGCCGCCCCTTCCTCGGAGTTCACGAGGATTAAGATGCGTGTGAAGACTTAGTGTTAGCTAGCGCTGTGGGTAGCATGGCTGGGGCCAGGCTTGTCGCTTAGGCTGGGGACCGTCTATAGGGCAGGTGTCTCTGAGCAGAGACTTGAAGGTAAGCAGAAATGCATAAGATGCCGACGAAGATGAAAGAATGGCTCCAAGGTACTGGATTCTGTTCATTCTTAATATATAGCTTTCAACGGTGCCATCTTGAGTCGTAGTTATTTAAATAGACCACAAGTCAGCCGATGAGATTTTTCTGCAATTTTGGTTAATCGTTCAATTTTAATTCAAGATCTCATTGAAGGCTTTTTTTTTTCCTTAAAGAAAAGGCATAAATAGAATGTGTATTAATAAACAGTTTTAGTGGTCAGCAAGATGGAAAGTTGCTTTCATAGTAATCCTGAAATGATATTTGCCTTTTCATTCTCATTTTCTCATGAGATGTATGTTGAATTTTCCAGAGACTCTGATCTCGCAACAGTCCAAATGCAGAGCAGCTATCTTCTATTAAGCCACACTTTAGAGATTTGCAAAAATTTTAAAGCATTCTTCTTACCAAGTTTGTTGTTGTTTTGAAGAAAAAAAACATGTTTTTTCGTAAAAGTGTATAATTTATGTTAATATGTAATAGACTTACCCTTTTTAGATGAATAATTAAATACTTACAATTTTTATGTTTAACATGGTAAATATCAATAGATAAAATTCATGTAAATAATTGTTTAGGGGCATGAGTAATTTTTAAGACTATAGGAGTTCCGAGATCAAAAGTTTCAGAAGCACAGTGTTAAATAAGTTTATAAGAAATAGATGTCAAGAAAATTACACATTTTCCAGAAAGAGAGGAGGAGAAGATTTAAAATCCACATTGTGGCCACTTCATCCTTCCTGTACAAGGAGAATAAATTTCCATACATCTAGAGGATGAGAGAAAGAAAAAAGAAATTACAGAATCTCTGCCAATGACTCTGTCTTGCATAAATGGCCCTTTGTTTTGTGGAAACATTAATGAGTCTTTGGCTATGCAAAGGTAAGCCTGGGGCAGAGTAGAAGGAAAGAAAGCTAAATTGCTCTGCATAATAAAGTGAGGGGGATCAAATTTAGGGGAGAGAGGGAAGCCAGAACCTAGGAAGGGGGCAGGAGAGTAGGGGTTTGGGAAGGAATTTTGCACGGGAGCCACACAGGACCTTCAGTTGAGTTGTCTTCTGTATGAATAGTGTGTTTGCTGCCATAGGTTTTTAAGTGGAGAGGTAGAGACAAGACCTCCAAGTTTTCTGTCTGAATCCTTAAGAACAGAGAAGATTGTGGTAGAGATGAAATCCAAGTGAGCTCAAAACATCAGTTTGTGAAGACACAAGTGATCTTGAGTATACACAATTCCTAGAAAAGGCCCCTTACCCTGACCTACTGGCTTGTTCGTCCTACTTTCTGTTTCTCCCACCCTGTAAGGAATTAAATGTTGGCCCTCAAGAGCTCTGTCCACATCCAGAGTCCGTGAATGCTAATCTACTTGGAAAACAGAGTCTTTGCAAATGTGGTTACGTTAAGGATTCTGAGGTGAGCAGATGATTTGGGTTTGCCCATGGGAGCTCTAAAGCCAGTAGCCGCGTCCTTACCAGAGACACACAGATGAAAAGGTCATGTGACGACATAAGCAGATATTAGAGGGATCTAGCCACAAGATCAGAAATGCTGACTGCCATCAGAACCTGAAAGAAGTGAGGGACAATTCTCCACTAGAGCCTCTGAAAGAAGTGTGGCTCTGACACCACTTTAATCTCACACCTCTGCCCTCCAGGACTATGGGAAATAAATTTCTGTTGTTTTAAGTCACAAAGGTTGTTGTCCTCTGTTACTGCAGCCCAAGGAAATAAACACACAATAATTCCCTTCCCTCCCATCCTTCCTGCGTTATCTAATCTCTACGTTCTGGGTCTTTCTCCTTTAATTTGGTCCTCTGCCTCTGTTTGAGCATTCATATCCTTCAGATACACCACCTGCATCTACCTTGTGTCTGTATCTTTCTTTTTGTTGTTGTTATTTATTTTCAGGCAGGCCTTGAACTTGCAATCCTCCTGCCTCAGTCTCCAGAGTCCTGGAATTATAAGTGTGAACCCCATGCCCGACTTGTAATTTTCTTGATACTAATCAAGTCCTGAAGCTGCCTGCCCTTGTGTTCTTTCATTCCCCAGCTCTTCTTTCATCCTTGGAGAGTCATCTGACCAGGTACTCCATCCAACAAGGCACCTACTGTGGTCAAAAGGATGCCAACCAGGTTCCTTTCATCAGATTTGCAGGGAGAGAGTGTCTAAGCCATCAGCATGTGGCACATGCATCACTAGGACATGTGCCTCGGGAGCTGAGGTCGTCAGCTTCTGTTTGCAGCTTCTCTCTTAAGGAGCTGTTGGAATGCAGAAGGGGAGGGCTTGTGTAGAGGCTCCACGGCAGCTTGAGGATCTGGAGTGGTCCCTGCCACCCTGGACAGACACTCCACTCCCAAGAACTTCAGATAAGTGCAGAGAAAAAAAGGAGACACTTGCCACACAGTCCAAACCACCCTGGAGGTCAGTAAATGACAGGTACCACCAGAACCAGGTGGGCAGGAAGTAAGCCAACCAAGGAAGCAGCACGTGCCAAGGAGCCATTTGACAGCAAGAGTCTCAGCACAAGGACAAAACAGGCTAGCTCTGAAGCATTCTCCCTTTGTTGCCCTGGGTTGGGGTGACTACATCTCAGGTAGGGTTAGAAGAAGCATATTTGATGGAGCATTATCTGGTTTGAGTTCTGTCAGTCATATTGCAGAAGTTATCTTTGCTGATTTCCATATGGGAGGACATAAAGGTCAACTCGTCCTCATTGTGGTGCTCCTGCCATCAGCAATGGCCTTGGGAAAAACCCCTTTCCCCTCCCCAGGAGACTCTTGTTGTCTCCTGCTGCAAATGAATCCTCACAAGTCCAAGCCAGGAAGACTCAGTGTGGCGCATACACAGCCAAGCACAACCTGGGGGTCCCACCCTGTTACTGAGACTCATGGCAGCACCTCTCCGACTCTACAGGGTGGTCCTAAGGCTCCACGCATCTTGCTGAAGCCACGAGGCACAACTGAGTGGGAACCACAGGTGCAGGGTTTACTGGTACCCGCTCCACAGAGGTGGGCAGTGGCAAACAAGTCTTCAGGAGAGGCAGTAGGAAGTCACTGCTTCCTCAGTCCTTATCCTCTTGGAACTATGGCCTCTGGATGCTAAGGCCAGGCCAGCTTCCACAGGACCACACATTCACTTTTACCTCTCTGGACAGCAGGAATCTTCAGTATTTAAATACCTAGAAAATTTTTGTAAGGTATCTAAGTGGCGTTTATCAGATCTTTATTTAGCTGAGCCTTTTCTAGTTAAAACTGAAGTCCAGGAAACAATTAACCAGAGGGTGGCTAATGGGGTGGGGGGGATCCACACAAAAGCATGTTGTTTGCTAGTGGAGGGACTTGGATTGGGATTCCAGCTTTCCTACTCACTAGCTCTATGACTGGGCACATTATTACTTGACGCCTCTAAGCCCCCATCTGAACAACGTAGGAACACCTATTAATACTTTGAAGGCAATGAGCAGAGGTTTCCCTAGAACCCCTTTACACCTCCCACCCCAGGAGGCTGTCTTCTGGTTGTTGGATGATACCAGGGAAGCATTTTTCGGTTGGTCGAAGCCCATCTGTCAGCTGTTTGGAGCAGAGGTCCTTAATTCTTTTGCCTTCACTTCTAACCCTGACAGGTGGTGGACAGTATGTGCTGTACAGTCACACTTCACATCAGAGGGAACTGTGAACCAGTACACCACAAGACCTCTGTCTCTTCCTCTCTCTGCCACATATCATTATTACTTCTCAAACCAGCATTTCTGACTCTGTTCCTGTGGCTGAACCCTCCTTAACTCTGAGTTTTTGTTATGCTTCTAGTCACAAAAAGGGCTAATTTGATGCCTCTATCCCAAATCTAAACCCTGAGGATGCAGAACATGACCCGGTTGGAGAAGGACACTTCACATGAACTGGTCAGCTGTGGCTTGGCATCCCGAGCCATGGTTCAAGCATGGCTGTCCAGTTGCTCTCTGTGTTTGGGATGTTGGGGCATATTAGTTTCCTACTGCTGATGTAACAAATTAATACAAATTTAGTGGCTTAACTGCACTTTTGTTATCCTGTAGCTCTAGGGTTCAAAAGTCTAATGTGGGTCTCTCTGGATTCAAGACTGGGTGCTAGTTGGCTGTGTTCCCTTCTGGAGACTCTGGGGGAGCATCCATTTCTTTGTTTTCACCTTGTAGAAGCTGCTCGCTTTCCTTGGCTCATGGCCCCACTCCATCTTAAAAGCCAAGAATGATGGGTTGAGTTTTGCTTTCATGATATCACTTTAACACACATCCTTTTGCCTCTTTTTTCCACATTTCAGAACCTTTGTCACTACATTGGGTCCACCCAGAAAGTCTGGGATAAGCTGCCTCCTGAAGGTAAGCTGCTATAGTTTGGATCTAGATTGTCCCCAGAAGGTCCACGTGGGCAAGGCTTGGTCCCTAGCTTGACACAGTAATCAGGTCACTGTGTGTGGGGGGATGCCCTCAAAGGAAATTTGAAGCCCTGGTCTCTTCCTCTTTCTCTCTCTTCCCTGGCCATGAGGTGAGCAGTTTTTCTCTGCCACACTCTTCCTCAAAGCCAGAAGCAAAAGGGTAGTTGATCATGGACTGAAACCTCCAAAACTGGGAGCCAAAACAACACTTTTCTCTTTATAAGTTGATTATTTCAGTATTTGTTATAGCAGCAGAAAGCTCCTAAGGCACTTGTGATCAACAACCTTAATTCCAGCTACAGCCTCAGTTCCCTCGTGCCATGTAATGTGTATTGAGAAATTGGGACTTGAGCATCTTGGGGGAAATCATTGCTCTGCTATCACAGAACAGTAGCTCCCACACAGAGGAGAATCAAGCTTAAGCTGACCAGGGCCTACTGTGTGTCTTCCTGGGAGAACAGAGATCCACCTATCCTTTTTTCTCCCTCAGCAATGTTTGCGGGCCTGCCCCATGTGACACTCCAGGTTTTATAGAAATTAGGAAAATAGAAAGTCTGCCCTTGAAGCATTTAATCTAGTAGACACTCAGATATCCTAAGTAGAGGGTGACATTCCTCTGAAATGTTCTAGCCCCTTTCTTCCCCTCTTCAGGTACTTACCCACTTT